GCGAGGAGGATCTGTTGTTTCTTGGAATTCAGCGATTCGACTACATTATGATTCTTCATATCCGAATCACCGGAAAGCATGCAATCCACACCCAAGCTGGGGCACTTCTCTGAAACTTGACGTGCCTTCAACTCGGACAATGTTTCTATGGGATGCAAACCGCTATTCTCGGCTAAAGCCAGCGGTATGTTCTCGAGGGCCACGGAGAAGGCACGGAAGGCATACTGCTCCAGAGTGGACAACTGATCGGCCTCTTTGGCAACTGCTAGAGAGCAACTGATTTCAGCTGCACCACCACCGTAGACAATGCGATTGTCCTAGAAAGAAAAATATAATTTAGACCACATAATGTGTGAAAGCTTCCAGTGGTGTTACCTTAATCAACGAGCGCACAACACAAAGTGCATCGTGTATAGAACGTTTGGCCTCTTCAATGATCATGGCATTGCCACCACGCAGAAAAATAGTTACAGCCTTGGAATTCTTGCACTCCTCAATAACCAACATTTTGTCTTTGGAAGTACCAAAAGCTACAAAGCAAATATTTATTAGCAAAATTTCATTAAACAACAAAACAAGCAAACTTTACTCACATAATTCACGCACTAAACCAGCAGTACCCAATTTTCCGGGTGTCAATTCCTCGAAACGTGGTACAATTCTGCCACCAGTRGCAATAGCAATCAATTCGATTTCAAGTCCACCGACCCAACGAACCGCAGGCAATTCGTATTGCAACAATAAATGGTTGGCTTCATCATCAAAGCCCCATTGGCAGATGGCCAAAGTAGCACCAGCGTCCTTAACTTGTTTAACCATATTTACGAATTTCTCCTGTTCGTATTCGCGAAGCGCACGGTAGTCTTCGGCCGAAGTGACATCCAACTTARGCTTGGTCTTGGGCTTTGGTGGTTCAAATGGGCAGGTGAGTATAGCAAGCTTTACATCTTTCAAAACTTTCGGCATTTGTGCGTGGCTCATGGTTTTATCGACCACAACACCTTTCACCAGCATCGAATCTTCCATGCGTCCACCGACTTTGGTCTCAATTTTGATCAACTCGAAATTCACATCACGCTTCTCAATATCGGCCACGTTCAACACGGCATCCACGGCCATGGTSGCCATTTGCAAATGACACTTATTGACAATTTTACTGCCCAGTGTAGTCATAGCAACCTGTACGAGTGGTTCCTTATTTTTGGGATCGATAGGGAATGGTTCGGCAATAGATTCTAATTGTCTAACAGCGCATTGAGCCGCTAATTCGAAGCCATCAGCAATACGAATTGGATGGATGCCACGATCAATRAGGCTTTCAGCTTGCTCGAGCAAAGCACCGGCTAAAACAACGACGCCAGTGGTGCCATCGCCGATTTCGTCATCTTGTGATTGTGACAATTGTACCATGAGTTTGGCAATCTCGTGATCGACCTCCATCAATTTCATTATTGTGGCACCATCATTTGTTACGGTSACATCACCATCAGCGCTTACCATAATTTTATCCAAACCTTTTGGACCCAATGATGTTTTCAGCGTACCAGCGATTTGGCGTGCTGCCAAAATGTGACTCTGTAAAGCAAATATATTTCTAATTATTGAAAGAAAGTTTGGATTTAACTCAAATGTTGTTAAAATAAAAATAATATAAAGGGTATCTTTTTTTGCAATTTACTAGTACACCGCTGAGTCACAGCGTCTTTAACCTCACATATGCACGCCATTATTGACGTGACGTCATATGGACACACCTGATTGGTTTTTTACAGAATTTATAGGATTTACAAATAAAATCACTAAAGTTTTAAGTATATGCTGTATTTTAAGCACTTTTTAATAATTGAAACATAAAATTAGCAATTTTTTGGCAAAGTATCATTGAAAAATTAGTGAACACAAAAGCAGCTGCTACCGTCTGGAAATTTCGGGAGCGGTATCAAAAAACATTAGTCACTTAAATAGTAATTTAGCGCGTCTGCTAAGAATTCACACAAAATCCTTTGTTCACCAAAATAGTTTAGTTAAATATGTATTTTTTTTTTTTTTGTTTGAAAAGCTATTGCTCCAACCTTAATAGCATCGGTTCCAGTGATGCGCTTTTCGCGTTCTTGTTCACGTAAAATTATAAAAGGACGACCGTATTCGTCGAAAGCGATGCTACCCGGGAAGGCGGACATTTTAAGTTAATTTCTCGGGCTTGGATTCGCTGGATTCACTCAGATAAATTTTCGCACTTTTCGGACGCTGTGAAACAAAAACCACGAAATTTTAAAGGTGAAAAARATTCTCACAAGACTACACGAATTGAACCGGCTGAACAAACGTCAGTTTTCGGTTGTCAGACATGACAGTCTTTCGAATGGCCACACTGGATACTGCAATGATGCATTCGGTGAARTAAAAATTGTGCAGAGTTTAATAATTAATAATGTTAATTGATTTAATATACAACAACCACACGTTTTTTGATTTTGAWAATGATATAAAATTAATGACTTAAAGGAAAACTTAAACCCTATTCGTATTGGCATTCGTGCTATTTTCCAAGCGTCAGGGCTTCGTGCTAACAAAACCGTTTGTGTATACTTCCGCTAACTTGAAACTCTGACGAAAAGACCTCACCGAGTGGCAATCTATTGAAATGAAAACACATGTGAAACAATAACAAAAACCAGCAAAACAAAAAACAACGAGAACAAGAAACACGAAAGCAGAAACGAAAACAAAGAGGAAGAGAAAATCGTGAAAAATTTCGGGAAAAATTCCGTTCTCCTCGTATTCGCCGTTTTCCTCGTCATTTCAATTTGTTTTTGTTTATTTTCCTGACGACACGCTTTTCAAATCGACCCGACTCAATGATGGCGGAGTTCCATCGACTGGCTGACCAAAAATATACCGAGGCTGAATATCTCTTCCAGGTATGTGCCACAACTCCATTAAAGCTGGATATTCCAGAAATTTAACCATGTCTAATTGAATTTCAACTTATACCTTGTGTATCTACATATTTTTCAACCATCTTCTTTTCACGCCCTTTGTGATTATGCCGGAATTGATGTTTTTGTATTCATGTGCTGCTGCTTTTGTTATGGCCGTTGGGGGTAACGGAAACAGCAGACAATCGAAATGGCCAAATCGGATGAAGAGTATGATGTGGAATTATGTTCTACGCCACCGCCGCAAACAGGTGAAATGTATGACCTGGAGTTAGTGCCGCAAGAGCCCAGTATTTTCTCGTGGAAGGTTGTGAAACGTCGACAGCGRCCGCATCGCCGCTATACGGTGTCGCATGGTGCACCACCAGCGCCGCCATCCACGCCCACATCACTGACGGCCAATAATACGCCTGCGCCCTCACCCACCGCCTCAAGCAATCTCAACGTCAATGGTAGTAGTGCTGACGATGAGCCGCTGAACAGCCTCCTCTACATTCTCGATTATGCACCCAAGTACAAAAAGAAACTCAAGGATCAACAACGCACTGATGCAGAATTAGCAGAACTCTTCAATGTTATCAAGATAACTAGTAGTGGTTTGGGCACAAGTGGTGCCGGTGGTGTGAGTGGGAATACGAGTAATGGTGGTGGTACGCTGGCAGAGGAAAATTCAGCTAAGCTWCCGCCAGAACGTGGCATTAGCGTTAACTCCCGTGTGATACGAAAGCATGACGCCAATGCGAAAATCTTCAAAATCCATCGAAATCCCAAAGAGTTCTTTCGGGACMCGGTGGCAGTGGGTGGCGGTGGCGAAGAGGAGGACTCAGTGTCCGCGCCCGAATATGATGACGCCGAAGAAGAGGAGACGCGTTTTCGGCGACTGAGACGCTACAAAGTCGCCACGATACGCCGTCGATTGCGAATATCCAAACGGCAAAGACGTTTTGCACGCTTTGAGCAGCAGGAGCGTATGGACGCTATGATGGATAATTTCGATGCCGCCATGACAATGCATGATGCCTAATAAGTTAGATACGATAACGTGTCTAACCACTGCCAACTTGATGCAAGTTGGCTTGCAACRGTGAAATTGAAGGCAACACAACCGAGTTAAGGAACATAAATGACTAAAATTAGTAATATGGACGAGTACGATGACGACGAGTGCAGACGTCTACCTTCCAAATGGGTCTCAATGTGATCAATATGAATTTCTTCTGCTAAATTATTAATTAATGTACTGCAAAAATAATTTGTTCACTGAACTTTTTGCGTAAATTTAACTTTAAACGTAACGATAGATATTCTTTCTCTCCTTTTTATATTTTGTTTGAACAAAAAAGAAAAAAGAAAAAACTAAAGAAAGAAACAAAACTTAAAGATAAAATTATAAAAAAATAAATATAATTGTATTGTAAACTATTGTAGAAGAGGCGGTCCAGTGCTTCTGTGTATGCCCGTCGCCAGCTGACCTCCAAACGTAGGATTTTATGCCGTGACGTGCGGACGCACTGACGAACTGGGCATAATAAGTGGCTAAATGCGCCGCATTACTCTGTGTGTGAATTGTTTGTTTACATCTCTCTGATTATTTTGCGTTGTAAATGTGTGAGTAGCGAACACAAGGAATGCTGTGTGTTCTGCAAAACAAATAAATAAATACTAAAAAACAAAAAGAAATAAAACATCAAATAACTGTGGATTTTAATACAATAAAATTGACAGCAACAACAAGTCCGTTTAGCGAAAATGCAAATGCAAAAAGTGAAAGCATTTCAGAAATAAAAATTATTAATTATACCCTAAGTAGGGTATAGTAATTTTATCACAAAGTTTGTAACATTCAGATGTGAACGTCGTAGACCCTATAAAATGTAAATAATAACCTGAGTCGATTTAGCTACATGCATATAGCCATCTGCCCGTATATACGCGASCTAGTCCCTCAAGATTTTTTATAGCTATCTGGAACTTTGGGCGCGTCAATTTCACTCCAAGTAGCGATTCATTATAGCTTCGGTTCAACCGTGTTTTCTTGTTTTGAAATAAAAATACTTGAAGTGGGTTCTGATTATATTTTTTTTACTGTTTAAAGCTCACTGCAAACTACATAATAACATTCTGCTGAGTATTTACTAACTAATCTCACAATTATTTTTTCACGCTGTTAAAATTATAAACACTTATCGCCAAGCGTATACAATTCAATTGATTTAATAAACATTTTTACGTATAAACGCTATTTAAAATAAGTAAATAGCACTATTAATAACAGAACCAAAGTAAAATTAGACAGGCACGAGCTCTAAACTGTATAGCAGAATTGTAACTAGCGCTTTGCACTAGCCCTTTCGTTTTTCAAACGTCTGCGTCCTAATAAGTTTTTATCACTACTGCTTTTGTTTGTAAACGCTAGATGTAACAATTATTTTGGTTAAATTTTTAAAGAGGTTATCTTCTAAAATTCAACGCATCTTCACTCGTCTCGCTTAAAGAATCTTTCTTTCAGATTTTGTTCGAGTTCTTCGGGGTCAGTAACTGGCATACGGCAAACACGTTCATGACAGATATAAACCGTTGTTTTACCATTGACCATTTTGAATTTATCCTGCACACGTTGATTGTAAGTCTCATCTGGATATTGCGGATCGACATGTAAAATTATCATGCCTGGTATATAGAATTTTCGTAATATTTCTACGAAGCGATGTGTAGTATTCGAGTCCGGACCAACTACAGCCACTAAATCGAGCCCATTTTCGTGCAACAACAACGCAGACATCATTGCTGGTAGTGTATAACCGAATGGATTGATGTCAGCGAAGAACTCCAGTAATTTAATAGCGCGGTCCTTGTAATTATTTTCGTCTAAATAGTGAGCGAGTAGGAGCAGGTTGCGTGCGGCAATGCTATTACCACATGGCTCGGCGCCATCGTGGTCTGTGGAAGGCAAAAACATTACTTTCGTTTGTGATTTGATATAATGAACTGCTGTTGTCTGATTACCCACCTTCTTTTAGTCGCACAATCACATTCGGCGAGTTGGCCTCTGAGTAGAAATACGCACCATGCGTGTCATCCCARAAGCGTGTATCCTGTACCTCTTGCAATTCTTTAGCCCATTTGAGTGCGCTGCCGTCCATTGAAGCTTTATAGTAGTCCAATAGACCCCTGACGAGAAAGGCGTAATCATCTAGAAACCCATCGATGCTCTGGGCGCTGAAATAGTTGAATAATTTGTAGAAATATTTGTATACTATGTATGTACATATGTATTTAAACAAAACAAGAGAAAGAGGTAACTTCGACTGCACCGAAAATATAATATCCTTGACAAATAAAGAAGGTTTCATACAAGAATGTGATTTTGATCGATGTTGTTGTTGCTTCAGACTTCTGCCGAGTTGCCAGTCCATGGTRAGTTCGGGTTACGTATATCGATATCTCAAAACCTGAGGGATTAGTTTGCGCATAGACATATGGACAAAGCCAAGCCGATTCAGCTCATATTGCTGACCATTTATACATGAATATTTTTATAAGATCTCCTACATTTCTTTTTGGAGGTTACAAACTCTGTGACATCCCTGTTTCGGGTATAAAAATACACTACACTTACGATGCACTCTCCAAAGTAGAATCATCGGTACCAAGGCCATAACAAGAACGCAGCAATACCTTCCTCTCCTCATCATACAGATGTTTGTGCAAAAACTTGTACAGTTCCTCTGCGGCCTTGACGTATTCAGCGCGTTTTGCTGAACGACAATTGGCCAATTTCGATAAACCGGAGAGTACTAAACCATTCCAGGCGCAAATTATTTTCGTATCCAAATGTGGGCGCGGTCGCTGATCGCGTATTTTGTGCAGCACCTCATTAGTGATGTCTAACACGCGCTGCAATTGTTCCTCGGTGATATCAAACTTAGCGCAGGTTTCAGCTTTTGAGCCACGCACAATGTGTATATTTTTGGCCGTGAGATGACCATGCGGATCACTGTTGGGCTCAACATTACCCGTTTGACGCAAATCGTAGTGATGCGTATAGATTTCAAATATGCGCTCCAGCTCCAATTTCAAGTCTGCATACAACGCTGCATTCGCATGCACTGCCTGCTTCACCTCGGACCAAGTCCAAGCGTAAAATGCACCCTCCACTTTAACCCTAGCATCAGCTGTCGGCAAGGAGTCAGCATCTTCGCCGGCGAAGAAACCACCATCAGGATGTCTTAGATCCTTCATCAGGTAACGAAAGATGCCGTCAGCGTATTGCAAGTACGCCTGATCATTCGTTAATTTGTAAGCATTTGCGTAGGCCGTCAATAGTTGGCCTTGATCGTAGAGCATTTTCTCAAAGTGYGGCACATGCCACACACGATCCACAGAATAGCGCGCAAAACCACCGAAAACATGATCGTGTATGCCRCCGTGACCGATGTGCTGTAGCGTTTGTAGCGCCATGTCGAGCACATCTGCATCCTTGGTGATAATGTAGGCGTGGAAGAGAAAATTTATGCGCGCTACTTCGGGAAATTTCGGTTGCATGCCAAAACCACCATATTCTTGATCATAGCGACGCTTGAAAATGTTCACTGCCTCATGCAATTTGGCTTCAGCGCTACCTGGTTCAAAGGTGGCTGTCGTAGATTTTTCACTTAGCGACTTTTGTATTGCACTAATCACATGTTTGCCCGTTTGTTTTAACTCCTCTTGATCTGATTGCCATTTGGAYGCTATCGTTTTAAGCACTGTCGTGAATGCCGGCATGCCCCAACTGCAAATATGGGTAAATTTAACGCTTTTATAGAAATTCGTATTTGCACACGCTTTGTGTACTCACCGATCGTTTGGAGGAAAATAGGTGCCTGCGGTAATTGGCGCCAGATCTGGTGTTAGCCACACCGACATGGGCCAACCGCCACTGCCGTTCAACATTAGCACAAATTGCATATAGATTTTATCGATATCTGGACGCTCTTCCCGATCAACTTTTATATTGATAAAATTTTTATTCATTATTTTAGCGACGTTCTCATTTTCAAATGATTCGTGTTCCATCACATGACACCAGTGGCATGTTGAATAACCCACCGAGAGAAATATTAACTTGTTCTCCATGCGTGCACGTTCAATGGCCTCCTCGCACCAGGGGTACCAATCGACGGGATTATGCGCATGTTGCAGCAAATATGGCGACTTTTCATTTATCAAGCGATTCGTATGCTTAGCTGCGTCACCTATTGCACCAGCTACACTGCTCTTCGTCGTTTCTGCAGTGCTTTGGGGTGCGCCTTTGTCAGACATTTTTCGTGTTTGAGCAGATTGACTGCTATAAGCAAAGCTGCTGTATCTACAAATGTTGGTATATTTGAAATATATTAAATTGAGAATAGTTATAAATATATAATTATAAGACGTGATTTTGTCGTCATAAGCTACTACATACTTTTCACAACCACTTTCAAATAAACTTCTTTTCACTGAAACTGTACAACTGGTTCGCCTTGATGCTCCAGCTGCTGTGATAGTTAYAAATTGCTTGCTTGTTGTTGTTACAGGCACTTGTGCAACCGTTTTGGCTATGACCTTACGTATCCAGCTAGGATGTAGAATATTATTCAACATAGCAAAAAAAGATGTACAACACAAAGTTGTAGCAATTAGTCCTCAACTCCTCTCAATTCGCAAACACAATCACAAATGCTTACAGCTGAAAATTGCGTTATTTTCACGTTTGATCGACTTGTAAATTAGAGATTATGTGCTGCTGCAGTATTGACAGCTAGTCCAATAAGTAAGAAGATATCGCAAAAGAATTGTTGGTGGGCAAGTGACAATTAACAGGTTTAGCACTTTGTTGTTGTTATTCTTGCCGTCTGTGTTGTTGTTCACACCTTTATTTTGCATTTTGTTGACATATGCAATTTCGAAGGCCAATATCTGTTGTGATTTCTATTTTCACAGTTTTCATAATTAAATTATTATTTATAGACATTTATAATTGTGGAAAAAACAATAGAAGTTTTAAAAAAAATTTAATTAAAACTTTACTGTTTACATTTCAACTGTAACCCAGCAAATAAATTCTAATAAATAATTCGCTAATTTGTTTACCAAGGAAAATGTTGTCAAAATTGTTTAAACATAGGGTTGCATTTTATTTTCTTTATTGACAGTTGCTGATTTAGAGGCATTCAAACTGTCCAAAATAGCGGTTCTTTTGTCATTTTGCCATATCCGACGCGCTTTACTAAACGTTTTCAACAGTCTTCGCTAAATTAGTTAAATTTATGTTTTATAGTGTTTTTAGGTATGTTTTTTTTGGTGAAATTGTGTTCAAATAATCGAAACCATTGTGCTGCAATACTTATTCTATGAAATGCCTAGCCTTGAAGTGCTTTTTTACTAAGTGCTTTCGAGCCGGTCGCTTCTTCTGTTTTGCCCTGTCTTTCTTCTTTGCGAGATGCAGGATTTCCTGCTAGCAATTGAATATATCCGCTATTTCTATAAGCAATTGGGAAAATGTGTAAAATATGTGTTGATTGGTGCAGATTTGCTTTATCTAAATATAAAATTGCTCATTTTCTATAAAAGAGGCTTTTGGGGCTAATTTTTTTGTTAAGCGTCGCAAATTAATGTTAAGTGAAAGGAAGCTGCTGCTGTGAAGTGTGTTTTTGTGTGTTACATGTATGTATGTTGCAAAGCTACCACAAGTGCAGCAAAAGCCTTCCGTAGAGCAATGTAAAAAGTGTATGTGTGCGTGTATGTGTAAATTTTACAGTATTCAGAGTTATCGTTATTTTATAAATAGAATGTGCGTGCAAAATAAAATAAAACGAAATAAAGTAAAAAAAATTGGAAAAAAATAAAGTAAAATGAAATAATA